TTTAATCGATTAAAACAAATTTTAATCTAATAAACCATTAATTGATAATTAATCGTAAGTCAATTAATTGTTTCTATCATTAGTGCACAGGTAATACAAAAAAATATGAAAAAGACTCCCTAAATACAACATTGACTTACAGCTAATGTTAAAACACAGACTGCAACCCTACAGCAGAGGCTCAAAAGCCTTCAATAAAGTTTCAATTTATAAGTTTCCCTAATGCCTAAAATTAGCTGTGTACTGATTTATCTGTGCCGATTTCCTTAATTCTGGGATATTGGTGATCGGCCGATATTTAGACATGAAGCCGATCTTATCCACTAATCTTTTTTACCTCAGCAAATGTCTAAATATTCTCTTTTGCTCCGCTGTGAGAGAGCAAAAGACTGACAGACCGGTTGCAGTTAAAAATAGTTACCAACACAATAACTTTCTTGCTAAAATTAGCAACATTACAGATAAATTAGGTGATTATGGAATCATTAAATCAGGGTGGATGGTAAAAGGCAGACCTACCTCTTCCCATTGGTGGATGTAGCGAATGAGTCTGGAGAGACGCAGCAGCCGCAGCAGACTGAGGATCTTGGTGAACCGGACGATCCTCAGGGCCCGGGCCGTCTTGTAAAAGTCCGAGTCTATGCGAGTTTCCACGATGAGGAAGATGTAGTCCACAGGTATGGAGGAGACAAAGTCCACAACGAACCAGCTCTTCAGGTACTTGACCTTGATCTGGTGCGGGTCCAGGATGATCTCCGTGTTGTCCTCCTTAACGATGCCGGTGCGAAAGTTGAGAACGAGGTCCAGGAGGAAAAAGGTGTCCGACACGACGTTGAAGACGATCCACGGCGGCGTGTGCTCGTCCTTGAAGAAGGTGATTCCCACGGGGATGATGATGAGGTTTCCCACCATCAGCAAAAGCATGGTCAGGTCCCAGTAAAACCTGCAAACAGCGGTGGAAATAAGACTCATGCCTGGGCCTTGGACGATCAATTTTCCTGGACTAAAAGATCAATAAACTTTAAATGCTAACAAACATTTAACACTGGAACTGGAAGACATCTGAAATATCCAAAATAAATAAACAAAACAACAAGTAAAATGAATCATGAAGTCTCTATAAACAACATTGTTTATAGAAAAATCATAAGTAAAATCCAACAGAATGTTTTTTTCTTGTTTAGTTTTCTTACACGAGTATTTCTTCTGCCAAAGGTTAGAACAAACAAAGGAAAGAAATGCACTGAAGGCATTTATCCCCAGATAACAGAAGCTAAATTGTATTAAACAGCTTTCTACAGATGTGCAGTGAGCAAAATAAATTAATGCTTTCCTTATGCATGCATCATTTCATAAGTCGTCTGTAGTTTAGATGATCCAGGTGAGTGACAGTGACAAATAGAGACAGAAGAAATGTTTTGAATAAGTCCAGTTAACACTTTAACACAGCCTGTGTGAGCTGTGAGGGAAATGAGAATGAGGCGCATTTCTGAAGCGATTCTTTCCATGTGTTAACGTAAAAACAACAACAACAATAATAATAACAATAATAATAATTTGTGTGAAACCAGGAGCAGCCTCCTTCTGAAACTGAAAATACTGTGGAATAATGTCCAAAAAAAAACAATGAAAACAAATTGATTCAGCATAAAACTGCAAGACATTGCTGAACTTACAAAAAAAAAACTATCATAATTCAGCATTAAAAAGAAAAACAGTTTTTGTTGCAAATATCATGAGTTACCCATGAGCAAATATAGTTTTTATTAACAGTGTAATTTGTATTTCTAGATCAGAAAAAAATTTTTTATCAGTTACAGTTAAAAAAAATCACTAACTTTAATATAGGACACTGAAAATATTTAAATTTATTATGTAGATAAAAAAATGCGAGTTACATTAGCAGATAAATTAACTCATAACAAGGGAAACATGTCTTGTTATAAATGAAATAATCTGTCAACAGAAATAGTAATTTTCTATCAGTATCAATGAATTATTTACTTAAAACAAGTAAAAGTTACTTTTAAGTTAGTTTGTCTGATTTCAAGTTTACTAAGATATTTGCGCTGGAAATTAAACCAAAAATACTTGGTAAGATTTTGTTTTTGCAGTGCATCTTTTATTCTATATTACCATCAAATTAAAGTTTGGATATTATTGTAATATTTACTTTGCATCCAAACTCGCAGGAACAATCAAGTCTTTATGAGAAAAGGGAGCTTGAACATGTCAAGCTTTTTTCTTTCTTCTTTTTTTTTTTACAGGCCTGGTTTTGCATGAGATCGCAGGTCTGGTCCATTTCTGAGAACTAATTAACCTGTAATCAATCCAGCTGGAGTTCTGGCACACCTAAACCTGCCAGGGCGCACGCTTCGCATCGACACACCCACCGACTGCAAAATACGCCGTTAGCACCCAGTGGGTTCATGGGAAAACGGGACGGGAATGTGAGATGTCTGAGTTGGACCTGCTGCTCCACATTAAACAAGTCAAACTCCAGCAAAAAGGCACTAAAAATGTAGCATTTTGAGGTTGTGGAAGAAGATACAAAACAAAGCAGGTAGAGAAGACATACAGATAAAAATATGCATCAAAACGCCTTAATGATCTATTGTGTTTTAGAGAGAAGTTGAATGTTTATTCTGCATTTGTTTGCAAATTCACTCATTTATCTACAGTTCTGTGATAACACGGATACACATAGAAAAACAACTGAGAATAAAAACGATTTGTGTTTTATTCCCTGATCTAAATTCTGATCTAAATTACTAATTTTATTAATAATTGCCTTCAGCACTTCATAGTTAATCAAAGCCAAACCAAACACCTACACAACAACTCAGTTAATGCATTGTTTTATATCGAAAGAATAAAAAATTATCGTGAGAATTAAATTCTGGCCATGATACAAACCTATAAGGGCTCAAATTAGCCGCTTGAGGCCTTCAGAAAGACGGTTTGTGGATCTGGTACAAAATTTAAAGAATTTAAAATCAGCGCTTGTACTGAAGATATTCTTCAGATGAAGGGTTTTCAGAACGTGCCAAAATGCTGCAGCGCTGCCAGTTTACCCAGACAAGCAGACCATAATAATAGTCTGCAAAGAAACAAAGCTGTCAACTCAGGAACTACAGCAAATGCAGGACAATCAGAAAGAGATTGAATAACTTTAACGTTAATGTTCGACAAAAACCAGAACTTCTAGGACAGATATGTTTGGACGGATAGTTTAGGGTAGAACCTCATAAATCAAATGCAGCATTCCAGCAAAAGATACACATAAATGTTTAAAGCAACAAGGTGGAAGTGCAAAGATGAGCTAAAGGAAAAGGTGAACTAAAGCTGAAGCAGATCTGAAACCTGCAACTTGGCAACGACCCAAAAACACAACATCAAACTCAGCAAGAATTTAGAAATGGAAAGTTCTGGGTCGGAAGAATCGGAACTGGGTCACTTCAGGCTGCAGTGTGAACACATAAGAACTTTATACAACACAGGAAGATGCTTCTACAACATGGGGAAAAAAATAAAAGTTTTTATCGCTTTATGGAGTAACATTTTGACCTTACATAGAAATTTCAGCTCGGCGCTAAAGAACAGGGTCAGCCATGATACAAAGTTGATGGGGTTACGGCCTTCGCTTAAGGGTCCCGCTGCGGCAGCTTAGCAACGGTTGGACGTGAATCCCTGACCTGCTGGTCGGTCACAAAGAGCCTCCGCCATTAAGCCTCCACTGCAAGCAGAGGAGAGAACAGCTTCAACTTCTTTATCTTGAATTTAATTATTTAGAACCTGCACGAAAAGTAGGAGCCAGCGATGGGGATGGAGACCATTTGTCCTAATCAGCTTTCTGTTGTTCTCTGCCAAACAAAGCATTTGCATTCCTCTCCACATCTGGCCCGTTGTCTCCGCGCTGACACACTGGTCCTAATTGCACATCCCCACTCTGGCTAAATCCACCGTTATCTCCTGGGAATCCATGTCATCTCCAGAAGTCAGCTCCCATCAGCCAGATGTTAAGTAGTTAGCATTACAGCTCAGCCCCGCGTCACAGAACAGCTGGATGAAGAATAAATAAATTAATAAAAATAAAGGTCTGAAGTGGACCGTGCATTACTTGTTGGCTCACCGGCTCCCAGCATGCAACACAACGGCGTGGGGAGAAACGTTCTGGTGCGAGGACGTTCAGTTAAAACACCTCTTACAGCTGAGGGTTGTTCGAGGAACCTGGCAAGATCTGGGTCAGCGTGCGGCTACGTTAAGACAGCACAAAGTCAGGGGAGTTACAGGCAAAGTGAACACAACAAGGCTTAAAATGGTGAAAGGAGCTTAGATCAATCAGGACAGCTGAAAAAAAGGGATCACATTTGTACTAGAGATACTTATCTCCGACTGGCAGATCGCAGCTGAAGCAGAACAGCCTGCATGCAGCTCAGTGGCTTAACACACACCTGTACCGCGGCTCAGGCCCTCCAGCAATCATATTAAACATATTTGCACAGCGTGCCAGTTCAGTTTGTCTGCTCCTGCGTCCGCAAACAGCGTTTAGTTCTCTAGTGTACAAGACAAAAAGATACAAGACTACAATATACACTGCTGGGGAAAAAGAATATTTACATTTTATTCTTTACTTCTTGTGACACTAACATGTTGGAAAAGTAGAAGGTCCATTGGCAGATAATTTCTCTTATAACAAGACATTTTTCCATGTTATAAGTTAATCTGCTAGTGTAACTAGCACCTTTACATCAATATTAAGGAGTCATTTACTTAAAACAAGCCTCTATATGTTGTTGGAAAGTTCCTTGTAAGTTGGTTTTGACTTATTTTAAGTTTATTAAGATATTTGCAGTAGAAACTAAAAATACTTGTTGAGATTTTGTGTTTTTGCAGGAGAAGCCCAGCCTAACAGAACTACTCCAAGAGTTCATCAATAAGGTTACAGAATATCCAAAACAGCATCTAGAGTTCAGCAGGTCAGACTTCACTCAGGTAAAGTCAGTCTGATGACATAAGCAAATATCAAGGCTTTCTGTTGATGCAGATTAAACATGGCTGCATATGTGAGATGTGTATGTTTTGTTTTTGGTTGTTTTGCTAAAGATGGATGCAGCTGCATGACAAACAGGAGACAGGACAGTAAGCAGCAGTAGACTGCATAATAATAACTAATTGTACAAGTATAATTTAGAAAGAGTAGAAATAAGATGTGTAGACATGTATAATGTGGGATATTTGTGGTAAGGATTTAATATGTTTTATTTATTAAATCAAACTGGATATGAAAGTTTTGGGTTTTTATGTTTGATTGCCATTATGATTTTTTGGTTGTTGCTGTTTTCGTTGTTTTCTTCTTAATCAAACACGGAGAACCAACATTTACCTGCAAATGTTTATTACTTTCATAAACTGTGGAGTAATTATACCAACATTTAGCTTTATACTTTAATATCGGAGCGAGACCAAGAGGAACTCCTGCTAGTTTATTACTTAGCAACCCAGAACAAGAATCAGATATGGAGAACCAACATTTAGCTTTATACAAACCCAGAACTCAACCCAGAATGACAGGAACCAACATCTAGTTTTAAACCTCACTAATCCAGAAGGTGAAAGTTTTCTGCTTTACTACCTGAATGACTGGCTGCAACACGTGAAACCGAATCCTTCAGAAAAACATGGAGGATGAAGACCGGCGCTTCATTTGTGACCTTCGGCTCAGACCATGGCTCTCATAGGTTTCTGGGTTTTTCATTGCAGTTTAGTTTTATTTTGCTGTAACTTTTTGTTTGTCCTGAAAAACTCGGGATCAATATTAGTAGATAATACATCTGACAGAATATTCACAGAACTCTGATCCAGAACCGCACAGCATTCTGGGAGATGTAGGCAGAGGAAATGCTTTAGCTGCTCAACCTCTCACAGCTAGCTAAGCAAAGTTGGTGGAATCAAGTATTTGGTTACCTAGCAACAACTTGATGAGTAACTAATGGTTACCTAGCAACAACTTGTTGAGTAACTAATGGTTACCTAGCAACAGCCTGCTGAGACACTTGCACAGCAGCAGTTTCATTTTTTGCCTCATAACTGCTTAAAAATAACATCATGGAGTAAAAACTGGATAAAACAGGAAAGGTCACATCACCAGGTTGGCAATATTTCAGATTTTTAAAGCAAAAAGCTAATCAATAATTATCAATATCGAATGATATGAAACGTTTATATAGTGGTAAGTTTTTCAGTCATATTGTTTGTCCAGTTCTGTCTTTAAAATGAGGCGGTCTGAAGCATTTTTGATAAAAGAAAGTAAAAACATAAGAAATGTGTAGAGCGGGGAGGTTTGTTTTCGCAGCAGAGCTGTATTTATTCCACCGTGTTGAGCTGACTCAGTCTGTGTTCGCTGCTCTTTTCATATTTTCCCACAAATGAAGACGAATGTCTGCAGCAGCAGCAGCAGAACTTCCCATGCTCACACTGATAAAAGCCAAAAAAAGAAAAACAAAATCCAGCCGTAATCTTCAGAGCTGCAACTTAAAAAGGCTGAAAAGAATTTGATCTAATAAAATAAAATAAAATAATAAAAAAAACCCGTCCTGATGCAAAATGTGACCCAAAGAGACCCTGAAGTAACAACTCCTCACAGCACAAGTTTAGAGTTAACAGCTGGACGGCCTGATTCCTCACCACTTTGTTCCCATTTCAATCTCTCTAGTTTTTACTCTGCATCATCTGTCTGTCTGTCTGTCTGTCTGTCTGTCTGCGTCCTGTGGTGTGTCCCCTCCCTGTCCATGCCGACTCCGCTCCATTAGTCTAATTGTGCCGTAATAATCTCCACTGATGTGTGCTTCTAATATCTTGAATGGTCATGTTACCCTATTTTGATTACCCCATTTCCAAGCCGCCGCTACGCTTTCTGTAATCCACCGCTTGAAAACATAGAAAAAAAAAATGCAATTCGGATGAGTGCAAAAAAAAAACCCTGCAGTGACACACATCAGCGTACAATATGATGACAGTGAACCTCAAGGTTAAATGTCATGAAAATCCCTTGATGGTGGTGATACACATCCGGTCGAGCGGGAAAATGGTGCAGCGCGGCTGGGAAAATTAGGGAATTATGAGGGATGAGTGTAATGAAGGCATAAAAAAGCTGATAAGAAAATTGGTGGGCTGGATAGCTGCACAGCTCCGGTGCACATGCACGCCCACACATCTCCAGGCTGGACACAAGAAGAGCTTACGGCCTGTTTATGTGCTTTAAAAGTGGCACAGTGACCAGCAGAATTTAAGAGGATTTTGTTTGCAGTGGAAGTCCTTTTTGTTACACCAAATGTTTGCTGGTAATAATTGCTCTTGCTTCGCGGCTTCAATGGAAATTTTCTTTGGTTCAAATCTTTCTGCATGTTTGGGTTCTCTCAGGGTACTCCGACTTCCTCCCACATACCTGCCGCAAACGATAGTTAATGATTAATCAATCATCAGAACGATTAATTTATTAATCCGGTAAAAAAAATATTGGCCAATTCTGCAGATTTTCATTTAAACCTTCTTCAAACAGTGTACAAATAAACAAAATATTAAATTCCTTTTTTGAAAAATAAATTAAACGCTTGATTATTTGTAGCAAAAGATGAATCTGCAGCAAAAAAATAAATTGAGATTACGTTTAACATCAACATCTTAACATCAATACAGTGTAATCTGTTTATTAGGTTTTGGATTAACTGATTACATTTTTTTTTAAATCACAGAATTTGAACCAGGTGAAGGTAAAACTGCCACTTGAGGAGTTTTGGGTAGAACATATTTACAAACAAAGTTTTTTTTTTTCCTATCAAACAAAATTTGTTATATTTTTTGTACAATTTTGGCTTAATTACCTCTCTGAGTAAGTTGTTCTTTCATTAATTGGCCGTTTTTTGAGTCCGGTTAACGATTAATTATTACTAAATTAGTTGTTGATTACTTTAACAGTCGATTAATCGCCAATAATTAAATTAGTCCGAAGACATTTACGATTCTTCAGGAGTTTTTGCTCCTGAGCATGTTCTGTTATTAAACCAGATTTAAGGTGTTTTTAATGACCAGTCTAACTCTTTGACTGAATCAACGCAGCCTATAAATTAATCTTCTGTGGTGATAAATTACCTAAAATCACTGTACGGGTGGATTATCCAGAAGCCTGCGGACTTCACGCGTTCCCTCTCATGCTCCACGGCCCTCTCGCTGCCCAGCATCCGCAGGGAAAACTTGTTGACTCCCGGCTGGAGCATTGCCCCGAACTGCCGGTGCATGAAGCCGGCCTGGTACAGTCGGTCATCTTCGGGTATGATCTGGTCCGCGTCCTCCAACTTGATCAAAGTTGACTGGTCGAACACGGACGGCTGCCCGGGTGCGCCGACCTGCAGCCCGCCCGCCGCCCGGTCCTGGGCCCCCGGCTCCCCGGGTGAACTCTCGCTGGCCCCGGCGTCCGTCTCCGGCAGGAGGCACCGCTGCTCCGCTGGATCCGAGCCCGCAGGATGCCTCCCGGTGATGGAAGAGATGCTGCTCCGGAAAAAGCGGCAGTCCCCGTTCAAGTTGGTCTTCAGCACGGAAACGTCCCTGTCCAAGTCTTCGCTCCTGGCCTCCTCGACGCTCCTGCAACTGCTTGCGGGAGACAGAGAGGACAAATGTTTTAGCCGAATACTTTTCCTCCTGGTGTCCTTGTCGCTGCTGTCTCCTTCACTGTCAGTCACTGTGGGTTTTTGCAAAATGTTTTGCGGCAAGCTGTAGAGCCGTTTGCGCATGGAAGACTGGAACCTTTCCATTTTTATTTATTAAAAAAAGAAGAGGAAGAGGAGGAAGAAGCGGGTGCTCTCTAAGGACAGCCCCAGAAAACAGAGGGATAAATCATGGATCTCACACAGTTGGGCTCCCGCTGGAGGCAAAGCAGCAACAGCGCATCCGCAGGATGGGTCGTATCTTCTCCGACACTTGGGACGTGCCGCTCTCCTCCGGCTCAAACATTGACACGAGTCGACGGTATGCAGCCGCTTCAGTCAACACGCACATACCGGGCTGGAAAAAACACGAGAAACGCCAGAAAATCCAGGTGGGCTGAGCGAGACAGAGACAGAGCGAGCGCTGCCGGGAGCGCATCAGGATGCAGCATGCTGAGCGTCGGACGTGCCGGAGTGGGAGAATAATGCTGCTGCTGCTGATGATGCTGCCGCTGCTGAGGTCCTCAATGACAAAGCAGCATCTCCACCTCTCCGAAATACCCGAGCTCCCTCTCAGTGCAAGGTGAACACGCACACGCAGGCACGCAGCTGGCACAGACATCCACAGCGCGTCGACATCGCTGATCCTCCCCGAAAAGCCTCCTGCTTTCCAATAACGCGAATATCGATGGAGCTGATCTATCGGGTTGCCATTGGAGACGGGATGCGCCCACCCCACCCTGCCAGGACAACTGGAGGGAAATATTCACAGAGTTGGGGAGTAACTCGTTACATTTACTCAGTTACATTTACTTGAGTAACTTTTTTTGAAAACATGTACTTTTTATTTTTACTTGAGAATTTTATTAGGAAGCATTTATACTTTTAATTGAGTAAAATGTCTGTTTCATATTGAAATAAACTGATTTAGAAACATTTTCTTTAGCCTGATTTTGTAGTTTTTGTTATTTTCATGAATTATTGCCACTTTGATCATTAAAATTTCCATTTAGCTTTATATTATTGTCCCTTTGATGATGTAGTTTTTAAATGACTGATAATTTGATCAGTTGCTCAGTACTTGAGTAGATTTCTTTACTCTTCCTTGAGTAATTTCTGGGACGGATACATTTTACTTTTACTTGAGTAAAAATATTAAGTAGTGCTACTTTGCAATTTTTTTTGTAATTTGCCACTTCTTTTGGAAAACCTTCCTTGGAGTTCAGGGTTCACTTGGAAAATTAATTTCTATCTCTACCAACTAAACAACTGGCACAAACACTGACATCTAATACAATTTCAATCTGAATTTGAGTTTTAAGAAGCTTAATATTAATGATAAATCTGAGTTTTTATGTCAAGCCTGTCAAAAACAACAATTTGAGTTTTTTTTCCTTGCTTATAATTTTAAATCCTTTTCTGCAGGGGATGATAAAAAATATTATTCATTTTACTTGCTCGCCACATTCTGACCTACAAGCTAAATGTAAAGATAAAAATGGTGGGTTGTTTAGAGTTGCTTTAGTGTTTAATTATTATTGTAGTTCCATTCTTATTGTGTTCCTCAGTTTCTCATTTTGATTACATCAGTTTTCTTTCTAATTTTACTTTAGATCAGTCCTTTCTCAGTGATTCTAATTTATGTTTATTTATTCCTAGCTATAAGATCCTCCTGTTAAATTAAATTTTGTTCGCCCCGTCATGCTTCTTGTTTGTTTCTGATGTTTTTTGTTCTCCTCTGGCTCCCTGTTCTCCCATTCCTTTGTGTAAATTTTAGTTCATTTTTTCTTTTTTCACTGAATCTTCAAATCTACTCTCTGCCTCAGCATCTCAGCTTTTGGGTCCTCTTCAAACAGAACATCATGACAGGTAGGCAGAAATAATCTGTAATTAGTCCATGATCCTCAGCAGGGATTTCATTTTAGATATAAAGTCCATTTGTTTTATAACCTAATTCTGAGTTAGATTTCTCTAAATCTTTATTCCCGTAACCTACCTGCTATGGTCTTTGGTGTTTATGGTGCAGTTGGTTTCCTAATGTCCTCTAACAAACCTCTGGATATTGATCACGGCTGTGAATTTTTTTATCTCGATCGTTTGTCTGTTGGTGCCACATTTTAACACCTGTGCTGTATCTGCTAATAAAATACAGCACCATGATAAAACTTATGGCTTTTATTTCTGGTATGACATCCAGAAATAAATGCTCTCCATCTGGCCGCCTCTGTGAAATCCCTCTGAAAGAGACATCAAAATTACTGAAGTTTCATTTTCTCCTCTGTAAGTTAAACCCTTTATTGGTCTTCTCTGTAAATAACTTAGAAAATGTTAAAACAAAATAAAAAAGGATTGTTTTGTGTATTTTGATCCCTCCATGCTGGAGATTTTCTTTTATTTCCACACAAATCTGTTCTTAAACTTTGCTGGTCCTCATCAGTCTGATCTCCTGACAGCTGTAATTCCATCAGAATGTCACTAGATGGCGCAATTCTCCACGTGTTTTCACATTAGAGCTGCAGGAAAACAGTCCCGCCAATGGAGGAAATTATACAGACCAGCTTTTAGTTTGATATTTCACTTATCGGCAAGCCAACTTGCATACAAGCTAAATATTTAGCATCCCAAATATCTAGTTAGTAAGTTAAATATTTAGTTTTGAAAGTAAATATTTAGTTTAAACATTTTATGTTTTGCTTGAAATGAAATGTTTACTTTGGGAAAAAATATTTAATTTAGAGTTAAAATATTTAGTTTGAAAACTAAAATAAGTTTCAAATTAAATATTTAGTCAGAAAGCTAAGTATTAAGTTCAGCTGTCTAAATATTAATTTTGCAAATAAATATTTACACTAAAAACTATTTTCTGAACTAAACTTTCATTAAGTTTACCTGTCTAAATATTCATGTTCAAAATGAATGAATATTTTGAAAATGAATATTTAGATAGGTAAATATTTGCTAATTTAGTTCAAAAAATATTTAGCTCCAAATTAAATATTTCTTTTGGAACTATTTAGTTTGAAAACTAAATATTTGGCTTTCTAACAAAATGTTTAATTTGAAAGCTAAATATTTAGCTTGCAAACTCAACATTTAACTCCAATTTAAATATTTCAACATTTAACTCCAATTTAAATTTTTATTTAAATTGGAGTTTCGAAACTAAATATTACTAATAAAATTAGTTTCGAAACTAAATATTTATCTGCATTTTAAATATTTACTTTGGAACTTTGAAATTTATAAACGTATGAATAACATAGTTAAAATATGACTGATTTTTTTTCATGACAAGCTAAATAAAACAAATTATTGTTCATTTTTTAATGTGTAACTTCGCAAATAGCCATTATGTTTGTTGCTCTCCTCAGCTGTAATTCCCTCATGATCCACTAGATGGTGCTCTTCACACATTTTCACAGGGAACGCCGCAAGAGTGTTTGATTCCAAACATGTAAGACGTTATATATATATGCCATATATAAAAACTGCTTAAAGAAAACACCACAGTTTGTTTGTCTTAATATATTTATTGTTAAAAATGAGTTGAAGTCCTGGGAAACGTGTCAGCTCTGACATGGGTCTCTCTCCCGCCACCTCCCATGCCAGCTGATGAAAACTCATGCAGCTGTGTAAATATGCCGTCGATGCTCTACGGTGATCCTACTAGTTTAAAGCTTTGTCACAGAGGAATCAGAAGCTGCAATGACTTTCAATATACTGATATGGATAATAATTGCATAGGATAATAGCCATGCTGTACAACACACATGAATACAAAATAATATATTAGAATGATTCAGATTTCCTAAAGTAGATTTGTACAGTTTGTCGTTATTCTTAACATTTAAGTGCATCATATGATATGAATAATCTATATATTAAATGATCTGATACATAATTATAGCGATTTATTACATACAGTACATACATGAAGTAAAGTAAACCTTAAACAGCTTTAGAGGGACACTGCAAAGCCCTTAAATGTGATATACATATATTTTATATATATTTATATGATATAATAAAATGAATTAATGGTATGCAGAAGAATGATAAAACTATACACATCTGTCATACCGCATTAAGGTGATCTTTTCTTTTACATTGCAGGGTTTTTGTTTTTCACAGTACAGTTTCCACAACCTCAGGAGAAAAATAACAATAAATAATAATAATTATAATAATAAATAAAAAATCAGGAAGAAAGCCTATTCTGTGTCAAACCGAAGGTCAATATTTCGCATGCATTATTTTATAAGTTGTAAAAATATAAAATTAGCGATTAAGAAGGAAAAAACTCAAACAACAACTGCATGCAGCAACAATGGTTATAATGTCAACTCTGTAATGGTTTGAGTAGCTTCATGTCTCACACCCTCACACAATGAAATAATAAGGCATGCCTCATTTGATCCCACAACCACTCCTCTAATGGCAGATACATTGATGAGCGACAGCTATGGAGTCCCTTCTTGTTTACCTTCATATGGTCAATACATGATTAATGAGACCTGCAAACAAAGAGAAAAGATTTAATCATTAAACCAGCATCTTTAATACAGATCATCATCTTTCAGAGTTATATTGAGAACAGGCTTCCCCTGACGATGAGTGTAGCCTATCCTAGCTTCTCTTTATGAACAATAAGAATATATAAGACCTGCATAAAAGATTCATTAAAACATTACTGTCATGAGTGTTCATTAATTATTAAAAAGGAGCCAACATCAGGTGAAGAAAAATTATAAAATATACTCTGAAAAAACACAAACTCTCCCTAGACATTTTTGGTCCAGTTTCTAGTCCAAATACTGAAAAATAAGACAAAACTAACTTATAGGTGACTTTTCAGCAAGATATGGGAGTGTGTTTTGTGCGAATAATTGATTAATATTGACAAAAAGTCGACACATCTTTCCCTTGTTATAAGTGAAACAATCTACAAGTGGAACCAGTAGGTTATTTTTAAATCAAAATTAAGAAATTGACTTAAAACAAGATACACATATCAGCAGTAATCTCCCTGCGTTTATTCTACAGAAAATATTTCCTCAGTTTAAATCTGAGATTTTCAAAATATCTACATTTCTTAAATTCAACTTTTAGAAGCACAAAAGGATAAAATTAAGGCACTATTCAGCTTCCATAAACAGGTTAATGGAGGCTGACCAGATGACCAAACATGCAGGAGTTCCATTTGGGTTGCTAGGCAACGGGGCTGGAATTGGCTGGGGTTGCCTGGTAACAGGGCTGGACTCGGCTGGGGTTGCTAGGTAACGAGGCTGGGCTCGGCTGGGGTTGGGAGATTTTTTTAAATGGCTCGTTTCCCAGATATCAAAAAACATAAACTTATTGCCATAAACGGCTGAGTGTTTTTTATCGTCTTTGTTATTCTTTTTAATGCTTGGGTTGATTTTAGAAGCAGCAGAAACTCAAATGGAATTACAAAAATGGGAAAAATGGGAATTTTGTGTAAAAGGTCCCCCTTAAAGCTGGGCCAGACCGTGCGATCTGGAAGAAAATTCCTAGAAGTTAATTTGAACTCGATGTCTTCGGTGACTCAGTGTGACTGACGCACCAAAAACTGATTTAGCTCCGTCAAAAACATCAAGCAGTGTCTGATAGCATCTGAGAAAAATCCATCAGCAACAGATGTCTGATTTCTTTCCTTCTGCTTCTGCTGCTATGTTCCAATTGATTAAAAAAACGTGTAGCTTCCTGACTGGTTGTTGGTAAAATTAAGCTAAAGATCAGCTGATTTTCTCAGTGCATCTCTTGGCTGATCATTAAAATCACTTCCAGAAGGAATAAAATACTCACTGTTCAGACAGGTTTCTCAGTTTGTGTTCC